CGCGCGCGGGACTTAGCATCTTGGCAGTCCAAATGGGCACCTCCCCAGGTTTATGGCGGAGTTTCTGGGCGCCGCTCCTCCGACTTATACCTCAGAGTCGCCCTTGAACTTGAACATGCTTGCAGTGGGGGGGCACCTCTTGCTATTTTACTACTCGATTTGTCCAAATTTTTTGACCGTCTTCCGTGGCAGATCGAGTATCCTTTACTCGATCACTTTGGTTGTCCCACCCAGGTTTCCGGACCCAAGCGTCACATGGCCACGCGTGCTTCTCGCTGGTTCCGCCTCGGCCCTTCTGTGGCTTCACCGCTTCTTTGCACGAATGGGACCCCACAAGGGTGCCCCCTGTCTGTCTTTTCGGTCAACGCTTTGACGGCGGTCTGGGCCCGCGTCTTACGCGCTGAAGCCCCTGGCGCACAGTGCGGTGCTTTTGTTGACGATCGTTCGTTGCGTGCCTGCTCTCGTCCAGCCCTTCAGAAGGGCGTCGACCTCACTGACGAGATTGACCGCCTCTCAGGTTCTATTCCTAACCGGGATAAGACTGGTTTGTTAGTTACTCACCTGTCACTTGAGCAGCAGTTTCATGCTTTCTTTCACGGTCCTTACGCGGTCGTTCCCGCCAGCTGTGGTAAGCTTTTAGGCGTCGGGTTGCCTTCACGTTCGGCCGCAAATCGCGATATCGGGCGAGATCGGTCCTTGGAAGCCATCACGGCCGCGCGGCGTATCCAATATGCCCCTCTGCACTTCGAGGCCAAGCATTCTTGCGTTGCCACTGTTGTCATTCCCACGTGGCAACCTAGCTTGGAATTGGGGGGTCACCCCATTGCCGAAGAAAGTAAACTCATGCATGCCGTTGCCGAAGGCCTCAATTTCACGCGCTCTTTTGCCTCGCGTGATGTCTTCTTCAGCTTGTGCACCACAGGCTATCTGATTGATCCGCATCAAGTACGTGTCTTGAACACTCTTCGTAATGCTAACTCCTTCTTACGCAGGTGGCCTGATGTTCATGAGATATGGACCTCGGTGTGGCATCACCGTGCAGGCTCAGGTGTGCAAGGTCGCTTTGGCCTTGGTGCCCAGGTGCAGCGTGCTTGCTCTCTGCTTGGAATCCACTGGTCCGAACCCTTCAAGCTGGAATGGAATAATGGTGCTTTATCTCTTTTGAGTAGTGATCGCACTCATTTCCTGGATACCCTGCGTAGTCTCGCACGGGTTACGTCCGTGCCTTAAAGGTTTAGGCCCCGGGGTGGATTTTGTTGCTACCCGCGCTTTCTTGCTCTTGAAGGATGTTTCTCAGTATGATAAAGGCGTCCTCAGGTCCATCTTGTGCAATGGTGTTCTCACACAACATGCTCATGCTCTCTTCAAACAGGGAAGAGTCGATTCTGGCCTTTGCCCCTTCTGCAAACGTGCCGCTGAGTCGCTGTTCCACCTCTGTCTTTTGGATTTGTCCCAGGTGGAATTCCGTTCGCAGTCAATTTACCCTGCCCTCTGTGTCCGTCATTCAGGGGTGGGAAGCATACACCAACCTTTGTGGCATCTTTCCTGTGCCTGATTGCTTACAGGCTGTCATCTCCCGCCTTTCCGCGGAGGACTTCTCTCTGCCCCGTCTTGCTCTGCCTGAAGGTGAAGGTATCCTCGACGCGTGGGTTGATGGCTCCGTCATCCACCGCCATGACCCGCGTATTGCACGTGCTGGTGCGGGGATCTTTTTTGCGCCCGATTCCCCCTTTAAATTTCGGTTTTGGCATTTTGGGCCCTGTGCAATCTGTCGAGCGCGCGGAGCTCGCTGCTTTCTGCGCCGTTGCGTGTGCTTCAGCACGGCCTCTGCACATCCGTACTGATTGCCAGTATGTTGTGGACGGAGTCCAATCTTGCCTCCTCGAGAGTCATCTTTGGGAGCCCGACGACGCGCTGTGGCTACAGCTTGCAAACACTCTGCGTGCACATCCCGAAAATTGGTTGCAGGTTTCTAAAATCCGTGCTCACACTTCTCCAGATGGCGTTACTGCGAATCGCATCTCTTCTCTTGACCGCCTTGGCAATGCTGGCGCTCATAAACTTGCTGTTCAAGCAGCCAAAAAATCGTCTACCGGATGCTCGGGTCTTCCAGGCTCTGATCGAGCATGATCGCCTTGTGCTCGTTGCCCACCGTTGTATGATTGCGGTTGTGAATGCCCGAAATGCCGAATCCGTCAAGATGGGCATTTTTGTGCCCGCTTGTCACCGGCAATCAGATGAACACGACGGTTATGCTTCGGAAGGGTCGGTTGCTGACGAACTGCCCGCGCCCGCTACACCCAAAACCAATGCGGCTAGGTCGCGTGCGCGCCGCGGCAGTGCGTCCCAAGCTTTAGCTGGCAACGACCCCGCTCCTACTCACAGTCCTGAAGGTTTGCCGCTTGGTAAGGACGGTCGTTTTCTACACGCTTTCCCTAAGGTAAGTGGTACTTTCGCTGCTAGAATCACCATCAAAGGTAAGACCAGTAATCTTGGCGTCTTTCCAAACCCAAAGGCTGCAGCCCTTGCAGTCCAGGAGTTCAAAAAGACTGGGCGCATCGTCAAACCTACAAAAGCTGAAGCCGCAAGCGTTGCTGCGGCTCGTGTCCTTGCCAGACGTGTTGACTCACCACAACGCCGAGGCAGCTAAGGCCGGCAAGCATGTTTTCGTGTTGGACTCCAAGCTCCTCACTTGTCAGCACTGCAATGCCGAATTTTCTTCTACTTCCTTCTCTCATGCGTGTGCCTTGATCTGCCCCAAGTTAGGTCCCCTGGTCGGCCTTAAGGTCGATAAACGAGGTAGCCACACCAGAGCAACTACCCTCAAAATCACCCGTGAAAACGCTTTCATTGAGCATCTTCGTGAATACAACTCTCAAGCCCGCCGGCATGGTTGGCATGTGATGAGTACTGACGCTGCGAGGTTGTCTCAGCCTCTTTGCACTGTGTGCCACAAGTCTGTGTCACGTTCTTATGCGCGAGTTTGGATGCATCGGCCTTGCCCTGGGCCGTGAGCTTCCTTTTTGCTGGGCTGCTGCCAAGTTTCCTTTTCTTGTGCGGACAACCCGAGCTAGGTTGCTGCACTACGACAAAGACTACACCTACACCGCCGCGCCTCTGCGAGCGTTCGAGAACGAGCTTGGAGTGCAGGTCCCCGTGGGATTCTGTGATCCTGCAGGATCCTCGGCACCTATGACCTGGACTGCGACGTGCATACCGAGGGTGACTATGCAGGCCAGTGAGGTGAGGCAGTGCACGTCGGCTACTTACGTAGCGAAGTTCGAGGCACTGAATGTGCTTATGGCAGTATGCTTCTATGTTGGATTGATCATGGCATTTTGCCCTGTGATGCTGAGTCAGAAAGTCGGATGGAGTTGCGAGAGGAAGCTTCGTAATAACAGACTGATGCACATGATGCATGGCAACGGGAGTAAGGGTTATCGTAAAGGGGGAGCAAAGGGCAAGGGCAAACTTCCCCCAAGTGATGATGTGAAGTCCGCTGAGCAGAAGGAGATGGAATTTCAGCAACAAATCAAAGAAGCTATTCCGGTGCAGGCCAAAATACGCAGTCAGAGCTCTTTGGTTTCTGAGGAGTGGGATGTGGCTGTGGTTCCGCACCAGCACTTGTCCGCGAGCCGGGGGATTTCCATAGTGCCCAAAGACTGTCTCGTTGAAGTTATCCAAAGAGTTGGATTCACGGGAAAAGCCACAGCTATCTTGGTGGCCCAGGCGCCTGACGAATTGGGGTTGCGCAGTTACCCACGTAGCCTTATTTCTTGCTCTATGTCAGTTTGCACTGCTGGTGGTGAACGTGAGGTCGTGAATGCGCAGCGGTGGCTTGTGCAGTTGGGTTTTGGGGATCCTGTGCGACGAGTGGTTCATGGTGATCAGGTGTGCATTAAATCCAGAAAATGTCTGCTCGTTTTAGCACGCGTCAAGGATGGCAGGACGGTACCTTCCCTGCGAGTGTTGTCATGGCACAGATCGAAAAGCATACGCCGGATATGGCGGTTGATCAAGTGCAGTCAAGGTGGAATGGGAGCTTCATCTTCTTGTGCCATGAGGAAATGGTTGAAGATCTTTTGCGTGCTTCCGGGATCGATGGGGTTTATTTCAAATGCCTGGATGAAGAGTTCGTGCCGCTCGAGCTGTTATGGCTACCGGAGAGTATGAGTCAACAGGAGGCTTTGAGGTTGACGAAGGATAAACGGGTTTTCGGGCTCGCAGAGAAGGGCCAGTCTGGGCGTTTGGCCTTGAGATTCAAGGACAATACATCGCTATCGAACTTTGCGAAGGAGTATAAGATGAATGACACTTCAATGCTCGCTCGGTGGAAGCTTTCGGGCTTTCCGGTGGAGGGAGGGATACAGGGCTTCACGCACATGATGGAAAGCAGGGGATGGAAAGGTGTCATCGTTGTCTATATGGATTCCGATCATGTTGTGTTTCATTCTGACAACAGGGGTGATGATCTTCCGTTGTTCTACATGCGCGAAGGACAAGGTCTGCAGATGCGCTTTAAGGCTGTCAATGCGGTGGCAAGAGGGCTTCAGGAGAGTGCTAATGTGGCACGTAGTGCGACTTCTACTTCTACTACCAGTGTGTTTCCGATGCCACGTGATGCTCGCAGTGATCGTCAACGTGCTTTTCTACAGAGGCTTAACAGTGCCGCTGCCCCCGCCAATCGTGATGAACGCAAACGTGGACCTGAGGATCCTACCGGTGAGACTCCTCAGCCCAAGAATGACAAGAAAGCGGAGCAGAAGGATGGTGACCTCTAGGAGCGTCACGGTTGTTTCACTCGTGCATGTTCGGGTTGAGCGCTTGTATTTCACTTCTGTATCCTGGCTTTCTGTCAAGCTGTTGAGTCTGGGTTATGCGCTCGCTATGTCACTTATTCGCAACAGAATGATGCACATTTTTCATTTTCTGTAGCAGCTGTAGCAGCTTCGAACGCCAATGGTGTCAATGGTACAGGCAAGCTACCCAATATTGCAGCGATGAAGGAGGATGTCATCGCGGTGAGCGAAACTCATGCGACAGATAAATCTCAGAAGACGTTGGATGCTGGTTCTGATCGTAATGTGTTCTGGGGTGCGCCTGTTGATGAGAAATCCCGCTGCGGAGTTTCCCTTCTTGTTCGTAAGTCGTGTGCTTGGGATGTGCGAACTTTGAGCTTCCAAGGGGCATGCGATAAGTATTCCAAGCAAGGTCGTTTACATGCCAATCAACTCTTTCGGAATGATGGCAAGCGTTCTTTTCTTATCTATTGTCTTTATGGGCATGCTGGGGCTAGATGGGAAGCGGACAAGCGTGTTCTTTTGCATGAGATGCTGGATTCAGTTTTTCAAGATGTTGCGATGCGAGGTGGTATACCGGCAATCGTCGTTGGGGACTTTAACACTGAGGTTACGGAGAGTGCGGTGCTGGAGCAGATGGTCACGTGTGATTGGTTTGATGCGGTAGGTTGGTCTACACAGGACACGGCATCGATGAAGACATCGTTGAAAGGGGGTGGGTCGAGGATTGACCTGTGCTTCATGAACAAGGAGTCTGCTGGTCTGTGTCGTAGTTTTGAAACATACGGAGCACCTGTCAAGACTGATCACCGAGTTATTTCAGCTCAGTTTGATTGGCCTCTTGCCAAACAGGTACGCTATATGGTGAAGAATGTTGGCGTGAAATGCAAGTATCAAGATCCCCCTGCTGCCTTCGTTCCTGATGTTGTTGATTCTTTTGATGTTCGTCAGGCGTTGACGCGGGGTGACATCAACAAGGCCTTGGATGTTTGGTGCCGGAAAGCTGATGCATTGTTGGCGCGCATTCTTCTTTCTGGCGTGAGTGCTGATGCCCGGGATGTCGGTAATGGTCGTGGGAAGGTTCGTTTCAGAAAACTTTGTGCTTATCCCCCTGTTGATTATCGGTGTGCCATGACCCTGGAAATTCGGCAGATTGCAGCTTCATTATACGGCGGTGTGAGGAGTTGCTGTGCATGCAGGCGTATGGGTACCGGGCGGATATCACATGGAGGAACATTGCCCACGTTCGGAAGTATCTGGAGGGTGATGCTTTGTCTTGTTTCGATGAGCTTTATCGTGGTGGTCTGACGCGAACCAATGCTGGTGATATGCATCGTTTCTTGAATGAGCACTGTCAAAGAGCGCAGACCAGATGCAGAAATGCCAGGTTGAAAGCGTGGAAATCTAGGGTTCGTGAGTCGGAAAAGGACGCTTATCGTTGGTTGAAACCTTTAAACTCCAATGCTGGTAAAGTTATGAAGCTTCCAGATGGTTCTTTTACGGCGACTGAGGAGACTCAACTACGTGCCATTCTTGATGCGCGGCAGCCAATTTTTCAGAAGTTTGGGGAGCGTGAACCTAGAGTTGAGCAGTTCTTCGAGTTCTTCGGTCAGACTATGCGGAGTTCGGAGATGCATTTGCAGGATATCACTGGTGCTGATTCAGTTGCTGCGGCTTTGGATACGGCTCCCAGCTCGCCGGGTTTGGACCATTTTCGTCCTGAGAGTTTGACGGCTCTTGCAAAGTGGTACCCTCAGCTCTTTGATTCCCGTGCATTGTTGTTCAATTGGATTGAGCTTCATTCTATCTGGACAGATGAGATGATCTACGCTTACACTGCACTTGTTCCGAAAAGCAGCATGTCTTCTGAGGCGTCTCCCGGAGAATACCGTCCGATCAGTGTACTTAGTATGGTTTGTGGAGTAAACACGGGTTTGGTTGTTGTTACAGTGGCAAGAGGAGTGGATTGATGGCAATGCGTGGGGTTGTAGGCCGAAACGAGGAGCTGATGCTTTTACTTTATCTGTGGCTGCACGGCTGTGACCGTGCTTCTGGTGCACATACTGGTGGGATTGCATATGATTTTGCCAAGGCTTTTGACGTGCTGCCTACGCAGTTGTTACTCCGTACTTTGGAAAAGCGGCGCCACGTCGGCGGATCTTGGGGCCTTTGCGCCACATGTATGATCACCTTCAGCGGGTCTTTCGCTCGCGCGGCGCATGTGGCGAGTGGTTCTCCTCCTTCGCAATGGTGTGTTGCAGGGAGATGCGCTATCCATGATCGGGTTCAACAGTGTTGTATCGGTAATTCTTGAGTACTCCCGTTTGCACATACCCGAGGTGGTGGCTTCAATTCTTATGCTGATGACATATCCGCTACGGCATCTGCGACTGCACCTGAGGGGCTACGCAATGCTGTCCGTCGCTTTCACAGGGTTGTTCGGGCCTATGAGGCGTGTGATGCTGGAGAAATCAGTCTGAAGAATTTTTCCTTTGGCAGTGATGCCTTGCACAATCACATTGTTGATGGTTTGGAACACAAGACAGAATTTGTGACTGTGGGTGGATCCTTTGTTGTGGATGGTGAGGTGCAGGGTAGGACTGAGCAGGAGGTCAAGCGTTCTGAAACCTGGAAGGCTACTGTCATTCGCATGAGACATGGCCCTGTACGTTGGAAGTAACGTTGCAAGATGCTGGTTGCAACTCAGTCTCAGGCGTGTTATGGTCAGGGGACGCATACATTCGGATGGGAGGTGGACTTCCTGAAGAAGTTGCGGAGTGATGTTATGCGAGCGCTATGGCAACGCGATTGGTACAGCATGAGCCCGCTTGTTGCTTTTGCGCTGCTTGCCCCAGTACAATTGGACCCTTGGTTCGGCCCGGTTTGCTTTGGCTTGCGTACTATGGCTCGTTGTATGGTAGACCCTGGCTTCAAGGCTATCATCCGCAGGGGGGTTTGAGCGTGACTCGTGGGTTGAGGGTCCTGCGTCGCGTTTGCGAGCTTTGGCGGAGGATGTTGTTTTTACTGGATTGGTTCATGAGCTCGTTTATGGCCACATTGTTGAACAGGAGTGGGCGCATCGTTTGCGTATGGCGTGGAGGGATTCACTATGGCACTATGGGCCAAGGTTGCCAAAGATCGGCCGCAGCACTACTGTGATGTGCAGGAGGTGGACTATCGGCGCACCATGTTGTTCCATGACGCTCTTGAGGAGGTTGCAAAGGGGCCATGTGACCCTAATGACTTGAGTTCCTTGCGTTTTCAGGAGGAGGCTCGGAAGCAGGTTGCTACTATGGGATTGGTCCTCGCAGGGGGGCTCATGACGGAGGAACGGGATTACAGACACAAGCGCGTTCAGATGGATGCAGAAGTCGGAGGAGGGCTACTCACGCAGTGCAGCGCGTATTGAGACCTTGAGGGAAGAGTTACGGCAGAAGTACAACAAGGGGGGTCATGTTCTCTGGTGGAACAAGCAAATTGGTAAGCCTGTTGGCGCAAAGGATGAGGGTATTATATGCTGTCAGCGCTGTGGTGCCACCTGGAAGTGGAAAGACCGCCTGAATATGAAATGTACCAAATGCAATCCCCTTATGCGTGATCATCGCTTGGGTCCTGCTCCAAAACCCAAGCACAAAGTCCCTAAGAAGACGAGTGCTGAGACTACCTCTTTCCGTGATGCGAATCCTTCTGAGATTGACGTCTCTGCTGTTAATGATCGTGGTTTCTCAAGCCACGCTTCGAGTTCGCCCCACCTTTTTCGCACAGGTGTGGGATGAGCGTGGTTTCACTGGTGCCCAGACACACTACGGCGTTTGTGCACCTACAAACACCAACTTCTGGGATCCTGGGCCCTTCTATGATGTCAGCACCAAATTTCTTGCCGATATACGCGATGCACCCACTTGTCATCGCGGGAAGGGTTCCAAGAGTGGCTTTGTCTGGGTCTCTCGGACTGCCTTGGAGTTAGTCGACAGTTGCTCGGTCAGAGCTTCCTCTGTTGAAGACTCAGGCCGTGCTCCAGGTTTCCTTGCAAACCGGCCAATGCCATCAAGACTGCTGTCATATTTCATAAGAGTACGCGGGTTCCCTCCCGGATCTGTCCTTTTTTGCACAAGTGATGTTCATGTACGACGTTTGTCGGCCTGAAATTGTTTTTGGTTTCTAGACTCAGTTTGGCTCTCAGCAGCTTCCCTGAGTCGCAAATTTGGAGGAATTGGGCATCACCTTGACCGGCCCCAATGTTCCCCTCGACAGACCCGTACACAACATCCCCTCATGGTCTGAACGACTGCAGGTTAGGGCTAGGGTTTAAAACGGAATTAAACATGTGGGTTTAGGCTTTCCGTTGGTTTAGGTTATCCTAAAACCCCCCTAAACTCTGAACCGAAGAGCGTACTCCCTAAATCTGAGGAGCCCTTGTAACAAATTTACGGGTGTTGCAGTTAGTCACCTGACACGTTCCGTTTCTTGCAAAACGGTTTTCCTCATGACAACTTGCTGATATCTCACAAATTCTGCAAATGCCCGGACCGGGAACTTGAATCTTATACTCCCGATGGCAGTGTAATCATTTTCACGGAGGGCTGAGGCTTTAGCCAGTCCTGCCCTTCGTAATCGGCATGCCGGCTACGGTTTTGTTTATTATGATGACGGCCCGTCGTCATGGCGGTACTGTTTCCTCGCCCCTTGTCCTGAGCAGAACTCAGAACGCTCAAAGAGCTGAAATTCGCGAATATTTGCAAGCCATTTCTCAGAATTTTCGGTTTTTACACGTTTTTACAGACAGCGCATGTAGGGTTCAGGCCTGGCAGTCCCAGATCCGTCGATCTCAGCGGCTTGCTAGTTGGAAGTTTCCATTGCATGCGTCCGCTGCCGATCAGTCCGAATGGCTGGCAAAGCGCCGACGGCGTGTTCTTCCTGTTGCGCTTGATGGTCAACAAGCCACTGCTTCGCTCAAAGGGCGTGCTACGCTCACTCGTGATGCGTGGGTGCATATCTATGAGGCCCATAGACTGGTGAGCCGCCTCTGGATGGCTGCATGTTGCGTGACAAGCTGCGTGCAAATCCTCTGCGCCGGGCATGGGCAGTTGGGATATTTCTGATCTTAAGTTGCTGCTAGCTGCCTGAGCCCCTTGCTGTTAGACAGACTTGCACGCGTGTTGACATACGTTGAAAACCAGGGCATGTGGCGTGGGATCTCGACGACACTGTTCCGACCGCACTGCAGCATCGTCCAACTATTTACGGTTCTGTCTGCCGTTTATAAACAACCGGCACAATTGTGACAATCCTGCTGGGCTTTCTGGGTGCATATGGCCGCAAGGGTCGGCGAGCTACCGATTCCTGTGTTTTTGACACTTGTTCCTATCTTGCCGGTGCTTCCCTAGATGGTCACTTCGCGGAAGGTATCTTGGACGATCTTGGAAAAGTTTTGACAAGGTGCCGGCTGCTCAGTCTGCACAAAGCTTTCTCATGGCATGTCAGTCTGCATCCCACAACACTGTGCGCTCGAGAGTTGGGGTTAGGGAGTGATGGCTTGTTGTCGTGCCTGCCTTGACAGACTGTGCGCAAGTGCCTGTGAGCCTGGGGCGGCCGTCCTCGGCCCCCTTCTGAACCTTTCACTGTGTGTGACCAGCTTCGTTTTTCTTGTCGTTGCTTTCGCACCTTTGAGCTCCCGCCCCCTAACTGCCAGTTCTTTCCGACTCATGGCCATGGCCAACCCTTTCATGCAGTCCCTCACGCTTAAGCGGTCAGCAAAAAGTTCAAATCTGAGGAGGACAAGTCGAAGCTTGAAGCCCCCGCTGCTGCTGCTGCTGCTGCTACTGCTGCGCCCTCTTCTGTTCGACAGCAAGCCCAGCCACTTAAATGCGGAGTTGACACGAGGCTACTTGGACCTCGACTACAAGCTCCGCCAGCTGCTAGCTTCCTTTACTGTGGTCCACCGCTTCGAGGAGTCATCTGAAGATCAGGTGCAATCGAGGTGGAATGGGAGTTTCGATGATCTTCTCCGTGCTTCGGGTGCTGATGGGGTGCACGCGCCAAGATGAGGCGTATGCTCCACTAGAGTTATGGCTTCCGGAGTCCATGGGTCTGCAAGAAGCTTTGCGGATGACAAAGGACCGGTGAGTGCATGTGTTACAGGCGTCTGGGCAATTGGCTTTACGCTTTGCAGACAAGCGTATTTTGTCGAATTTTGCTACGGAGTACAAGTTGAGTGACACATCCAAGCCGAATCCAAGCTGCTTCGGTGGAAACTTTCCGGTTTCCTTATTACGGAAAGGGTTCAAAAGGTTTCGTGCCCATGATCGAAAGCCGAGGATGGAAAGGTGTGGTCGTTGTCTACAGCTTGAGTGCAGCACGACTATTGCAATCCAAGCAGAAGGCAGGCGTGGCACATCCTTACGAGGCGTGCAGTGCTGCCGTAGCCTCGGCAGTCTGGAGCTCGCCAAGGACGACGAGTGTCCGCAGCCTCTTCGTGTCCTCTTGGATGCTATGCCCTTGGGCGACATGGCAAATGTGGCTCGCAAAATTTCTTTGTGCACGGCGCCCCTTAATGGTAACGCAAAGAAGACTTGCGTGATGTGGGTGTTCAGAGTACACGTAGCAAGCGGTTGACCACTTACCTTCCGACGGCGCAGCTCTTCACGGAGCAGGGCGGTGAAAGACTTGGCTTGCGCCTTGCTGGAGCGCTGGGAAGGCTCCCCCCACCAAAATTCGCTGCGAGAACTTGAAGATCTTGCTCAGGGAGGGTTGGCCCTGAGCCAAGGTAATTAGTGAGGAATATTGGCGGCTTGAGGAATCGGGTCCCGGTTTCATGTGGCAAGAGATGGAGGGTGTTATAATCAACAAAGCCCCCTTCCTTGAACAGTGCGCGAAGACCAAATTGATCAAATCCGAGTGGTTCCAAAATATCGGAGAGTTCGGTTAGCATCTTTCCTACCGGCGGGATTTGGGGTGCGGCGTCGCTGTCGCTGTCAACATCCTCCGTGCGGTTTGACTCATGTCAAGCAGTGTAGGCTAGAGTGTCAACCCTTTCCGACCGGCCGACGATCTGGTGCAGGGATGTCCTCACTCTATTTGCCTATGCTCATTCTATCTTCTATGAGCTCCTGTTGGCGTGAGCAGCTTCCGGCGACGCTCCCTGCAGATGCCCCCAAATCCTATGCCGATGATAGCCTTGCTTGTGCTAAAGGTGCTTGCCATCTGTCCCTGGCAATAAGGAGACCTTCCGCTTACTGGTGGCACTGTCAAGCTTTCTCCTGAGCCTTGCAGGTCGCATCTTGAACAAGAGGCTTCAAATTGGTCTGTTAATGTTGCCAACATCCGTCGGTTGCCTTTAGATTGGTTTGCTAAGGTTGCTTGGTTGCAAACGGTGTCACAAGCAAAGCAACACCAAAACTAAAGCAAGCAAACAGACTGAAACATCACAGCAGGACAATTAACACAACGAAGCAAAACAAACCAAAGCAGAAAAGAGGACACACAGACGAAATAAAACAATCGCGCAAATAATTAGGCAAACATGCAACCATGCACGTTGAACATGTAATCTGCGCCTAATCAGTGCTGTTGCTTTGCCTGGTCGATGTGCTTTTTGGATCGCGCAGTTGTGGAATGTTGTGGATATCTAACGGTGGTGACGAATTGTGCATATTATTGCCAGTGTTGCAACTGAGCTTTGAAGCATTGGCGTTGTTGCGGTTTTTTCGTCGTTGTTCTTGTTCTCAAAAGACGCACAGCTTTTACTGCTGTTGGCTGTTGTTGTTGGCTGGATAGACGTGCAGTGTCATGCCGTTAACCACAGCTCCTTTCCGTGTTCATCGTCAACCTTGTTCTGCTCCCAAGCATCTCTTGCGCAATCCTACAACTTATGATGAGATGGTGCCTGCTGTCGTGCTACATTACCAAAATAGCAAGCCTCCGCCATTTTGGGAAAGGGTTCACGCTGTGAAAATTTTCCTCCTCGTGTGAAGGCCCCTGTCGGCTTCTTCGATCCTTTCGGCCTTACCAAGGTGCAGTCCCGCCATTGGGAAGGGGGTTTCTTAAGATCAAAGGTCCCGTATTTGTAAATGTGCTTATGTTGATATTGACGGCTTTATTGGACCATGGGTCCCTTGTTCCATGCAGCTCTCAGAATAGCCGACCAAGTTCAAAGCATTATGTCGGCATGCTTGAAGTCAAGCATTGCAGAACGAAGTCGTTTTGTTGCTGCTGTGTACTGTTAAGCTGCTAACCGCTGGAATCTGTCATGCTGTGCTGGCGGCAATTTAGTGCAAAGCCAAGGATGAACATTTGTTGGGTTTTGATTTTGCGAGCTGTAACTGTTAGTTATCGGCATCAAACTTCTTACTGTAGGATTTGTGGGTATGTTTTCAGGGAAAGATCCCTAGCAAAGGCACGGACGATCCCGACATATCCCGACTGCACACGGGAGGCTTCTAGGCGCCCTTGTCAGAAAGATGGTCATACAACAGTAAAGACGTGTATTCCTTGCATGGCCAGGCTGGGCTCGCTCCAGAATTGAGTAGTTCTTTCAGCTCAGTCTTAAATCATGAACTACAAGCCTCCTTTGTTTCTTCTCCCAAAGATTCTGCTGAGATTCTTTCAGCGGTCGGGGAATTGCCTTATTTGTTGAAGCATACTACATGTTGACCTAGCTTCAAAGTCCGCAGGATTGCTGCGCGGAGTTGCGTGCAAAAAGCAGAAGCTCTGGCTCGCGGGGTAGTAAGCACTGAACCCTTTCCAAAAAAATCTTAGCTTGCATATTCAAGAGCTATATACACGAGGATACGGCTGATAGCGTCGGGTTCGGTTTGGAGGTTCCTCACACGTATTTAAGATTTTGACAGATAGGTTTTTGTTGTCGTGTGTAGCCTGAATATCAAGCCTTTGCGATCCGTGTTTACGTGCAGGACGGCGACATGGAGGCTTTCAAGCGCCGCCGTGCTACGGAGCGGGGTGCAAGGGAACGGGTGGCAAGGTGGGCTGCGAGCGACGTTGGGAGATTACGCCTTCAAGCTTTGGGGCTCGGCATTGCTGTATTTGTTGTTGGGGTTGGGCACGTTCTTGAGAACGGTTCATGGGTTGAAAGCGCCGGGGGTCGACAAGTGCGCTGTGGGAGCAGGGGTTGTGAGGTTTGCCAGGCGTTTCTTCTTGCCATTTCTTGCCTTGACCAAGTGAGGCTGTAATGTGCTATAATATGCCACAATCTACACGTACTACGTATACAATATATAATCGCTTCATCCGCTTCATAAAGCCACCCCCAAATGCAAAGAATTATCCGGGCCTTTAATTTTTAATATTAGGTGGATTTCGGGTGGTTTCAGGCTTGATTTTCCGAAATTCGAGTCTAGAAATTTCTACTCCCAGGCAAGGGTGCATGTCTAACGAAACGCATGGGATCGCACTCCCAGGCTAGGGAAATTCGAGACAGCAATGAGACTCAATGTGCTCCAGTCAATGCGCCCCTTCCTGCGCAAACCCAATCCGCACCCAGTCCCGCACCCCGCAGCCGAGCATGGGAGAACAAGATTCTAGACGGCAAAACCCTGAAGTTCTCACATCCGGACTCCCTCGGACGCCGCGTTCCTACTCCAAATGCCAACTTTCCAAATTCCCCATGCCTGACCCTTACTTAAACATGCCTTTAAATCTACTAATGTAGGAACTTTTTGCTCGAAGCTGGGAAATTTTTCGGCCGGGGATTTCTTCATATTTACAGGGGGATTTATTAAACGGATAAAGGGATTACTATATATAGCATAGTATATAAAAGTCTACTATAGTATGCTATAGCATGTTATAGTACCTTCTAATATATGTATGCATAAATCAACCATGGGGGTGCCTGCGCTCGTGTTTCTCGGCTGGGGGGCTCGGGCTCCTAGTGCCCACTACGATAAGGACCACATTAATGCTTGAATATAGATCATAATAAAACTTAATAGATTATGACCATAGTAATACCATAATACTTAGTTATTACAGAAGTAGGACCATATTATTGTGTGTGATAATATGAATCTACTATGGGGCTAGGGCCCACTAAGATGCTCCGGATTTTCAGGAGCTGAAGAACGGGCGTGTGGCCATGCTTGCCACCATGGGTCTCCCGGCAACGGTGCCGGATGTAGCTTGATGTTGTCTTTGCCTTCATTCCCAGCGGTCGTCACTGCTTTCTATCAATACCCGCCCTTGCAGTATCCTTTGGGTTGAGAAGATCCTTCGCGACACGTGGGTTGGGCATAGGGGAAGGCTCCTTCCACTGTGGTGTCGTTTGCAGTTCGGCAAGCTTTAGGCAGGTTTGCGCTATGGGTTGTAGATATCAAGGGGGCTTTGAAAGTACTTAAGGCGACTTGGCTTTGAGGAGTAGCTTGTACGGGGCTGAGTTCCTTCCTCATCTCTTCGTTGCGAGGCTACATCGTCCCGGAGTACTTCCGCTTTCCAGGAGCTCTGAAGCTCTGCCCCGCTCTCTAACATATATACCCTACACTCTACACCAATCCTAAACTTAGGACTTGCACCTTGTTGGCTCCCTAGTGGCCATGACGTGCATGTCTGAAGAGCTCCGTGGCTTCAGCACTACTGGTGCACCTCAAATCAAGAATCATTCCCCCAAGTCTATATCGGTAGAAGGCCATCCAGGGTTTCGAGCCACTTTCGCCCGCAAACGAGCTGCAGCAACAGAAGCGGACCAGGGACTTCAAAGTCCTGTCCACTCGAATACTCTACCAGCTGATCTTGCAACTGATCTATTGTGGGCTCCTCACTAGCTGATAGGAGGGGTCCATGCCATCCAACCAGCACTGAACAAAATGCTGCTCTGACTGAAGTAACGGAGCGGATTTTATATACCTACGAATCAAATATTAATATCACCTTCGTGGCACGTAGGATACTGCGCGCCCTCCGCGGGCCTCAAGTTCAAGGATATCCCGAACGGCCTGGCGGCTTTGAGCAAGGCAGGGAGACGTTTCGGGTGTATCGCGCATGTGGGGCTTTTGTAAGGGTGTGCGTCGTTAGGAACCTGGATCCCTAATTACATCGTTCTTGCTGGAGCAGGGCAGGCTGTTCTGAGCGAAGAGTCCGGTACCTGATGACGTACACCTGAGCTTAGTGTTTGGCTTAAGGACCCTGCAAAAGGCCTTAGTTCAGGTGTCGGGAGCAAGCTGAAGGCTGTTCAAGCGCAAGCGCCGCACCAAAAAGCCAAAAAAGCAAAGCCTACCCCTGAGATCGGGCCATCACATACCAAAGTTGGCAGGTGCCAGGAGCTGGCTGGACTCAGATCTTCCTGTTCTTGGGCCTCGTGGAGAAGGGCCTCTACACCTTCGACCCGACCCGTCAGCCGGGAGAAACTTGGAGAGCTCAGTCGGGGGTAGGGTAGCTGCTCCGACGAGCAGCTCTTGCCGTGCTTGCTTGTCTCCCCTTCCTGTTGTGTCTCTTTACACTGTTCATTTCTCGCGTTGTACTGCTCTTGGTTCAGGTTTGTTGTGTCGTTCCGCGGCCTTTTCGTTCTACGTCTCCTCTCTCTCTCTCTCTCTCCCTCTGTCTCCCTCGCTCCCTCGTTCTCTGTGTCTCTCGATCAGTGTTCCTCCCTTATCTTGATCGTTACTGTTTTTTTTTGGTTGTTCTCTCTCTCTCTCTCTCTCCCGAGCTCCAGCCTTTTCGGCCATGTCACCGCCACAAGCTAAAATGTCACCCATGAATTGAGAGCTTGAAGAGCTTGAACTACGACAGTGCAGCCAGCCAGAGCCTTGACACTCCAAAGCCTCTAACTTCGTACTCCGCCTTGCCGCGGAACCGGCTGATTTCGGCTCTTTGCCGGAGGAAGCTTGTACCTGCAAACCTCATTTTAACTTTTGGCAATGCCAGAAACCCTCACGCCCCAAGCACCAGCTGGGGTCAGCGCTACATCACATCTGAGGACTACAAGAATGCCGGTGTGCTGGGCGTGCCGAATGGCAGCACCATGACGCCTGGCGAAGGCCTATAGTTGGCGGGTTTAGGGTTTCGAGCTTATAAGTGTCTCAACTTAGCCTCAGAAGCCGCCGCTCACATGTCGTGTGTGGATGTGTGTAAGTTGTGTGTGTATACATATACACACATACACACATAAGGGTCTGTATGCGTGTGTGTGTGTGTGTGTCTGTGTGTCTGTGTGTCTGTGTGTGTGTGTCTGTGTGTCTGCGTGTCTGTGTGTCTGTGTGTCTGTGTGTCTGTGTGTCTGTGTGTCTGTGTGTGTGTGTGTGTGGATGCGTGTGTGTGTGTGTACTCGTGCTAGAATGTAGGTACATAGCCACATAAACTTTCGTTCATCGTTTTCATAATCATATGTATATTTATTTATGTATATATATATATATACATACACACAGATACATGCATATGAGCACATACATGTATGGCCGTGTGCGTGTGCTCGTATCCTACAAGTAGCATAGAGACGTGCAAGTGCCAAGCCCGCATTGTGTGCGACCATAGGGGCTTGTAAGCCTTGACTGCATGAAGTCCCTTTCTGTCTTCCGTTGTATCGCTCGTCCCCACACTGCAACTTCTTGTAAATCCCAAGAATCGAGCCCATCACCTTGAATGCACAAAGAAAAGATGCCTTGGGCGCCCTGCCCCTCTTCCGATTGCTGAAGCCTTTGGAAGGCCGAAATCGCAAACTCAACTCCGAGCTGGCGAATGGCAGGTTGGCCATGATGGCTGCTCGGCATGTGGTGTTCCTCTAGTCTCCGTGGCTGCTCGTTGCTCTTCGCGATGCATACCATCATGACATCTCGTTCTTTCTTGACAGTAGCCGCTGCTACTGCTACTGCATTGGCGCTGCTGCTCCTGCTGCTGCTACTGCCACTGCTACTAGCGCTACTGTTAATCCTAATGTTGCCGCCAGCAGTTACCGGTACTGAGGGTACTACAGCTACCAACATCAAGACTCCCGCCAACAAGACGACTACGGCGGATTGCTTCTATGCAAGTCATCGTCTTCGTCGTTCAATCTTACATGTGCTCTTCTGTCTCGTCAGCTTGTGATCCTAGGAGTGTGTTGATGTTTTTTGTTGGATCGCGGGTCAACGCCAGCTTCGGGCTGCAACAACCAAACCTAAGGTGTCAAAAGCAGTTGGCCTAGAATTGCAGTATTTCGAGCAACAATAGACGGAATGCCATACACGGGGCTTCTGCCTGCATACTCGTCTCAGGCCATCATTGGCATGTTCTTCCAGGTGGCTTGGCAATGCAAGTCAGGGCTTGCCGCCTCGCTGACCCACGGAATTTCACAATCCGCAACGCCGAAGTGACACTATGAGTCACCGAAAATGTACGAAACTGAAGCTCATCATCGTGTCATGTGCTTGTTTCATTGTTGTTGTTGCATGTTAGTGCAACACACCCTGCTCCACACGCCATTGTCAAGTGAACACGGTAGATGATGATGCACTTCCCTCGTGGCGGCTTCAATCAAGTTCCGTAGCAAGAACGCAGTCAAGCTGCGGCAAAGGCATAGGCTACGCGCCAAAGTATACGATCAGTTTAGGGATCATTGGCCCGCGGTCTGTGTGACCGCTGATACAGCATCGATGAAGCGTTTGTTTCATTGGGAGAGTGCTGTGAGGATGGCCTCACGGGCAGCGCCTGGGGTGATTGGGCCGCGTACACCGAAGCTGGGTCCTGTTTAGGTTGGGGGCTTTTGGGTCAAGCGACTTTCTGTTTCTGATATTATGGTGTGCTGGATCGGAGGGAGCGCGAGGAAGTAGTTCCGAGCTTCTGCTGTCGCTCTTTGTAGACAGCCGATCCACGTCCAATGTATTAACTACCGGCAAGCACCAACACACAGTTCTGCCGATTCTCAGCGTGAGTGGCATGTCAAGTCGGCTGTGCAACAGTTTATCAGGCCGGCTGGCTCACATGCTCTGCATGTCAGATCTCTTTCATCCAAAGTCATTTAACAGAACAGTGCTGAAAGTTTCTGTGTAGAAGCAAGCCTTAGTAGTTAGTTGGAACTTTTGTTGTGTTTTCCATTACTCATTACGGTCGGCAGCGGGTCTCGAGGAACGAGCATACATGCATGACGCATCTTCGGTTCTTTGCTTTCGAACTTGCGTGCATGCCTGCCCCGCAGCGTCAAGCCCGCCGTGAACAAATCATTGTCGAGCCCTTGACACTTGAAAAATCAGCGGCCAGCAACTTGCAGCAACTATGTGCCAAGAAGGATTCCCCCCTTCGTGCCTTCGAGAACGAGCTGGGCGTGCAGGCCACACTGCTTGTTTATATTTCAGGTGTCAAGCTGGTGTGACGCCCAAGATTCATCTCGCTGCATGACGAGGATGCAAGCAAAGCACACTTATCGAGCTTCTACATAAGTTGGCTGTGCAGCTTTAGTTGCTGGATCTTTCAGCGGCGCGGTTGCAAAGGTTCATTCGACCGAGGGGTCCTAGTCTATTGTTCACTGGCTCGGAGGCACTTCTGTTCTCTCGCGTTGGCTGGCTGGCTAACCCGTGCTGATGCGCACGAAGGTAGGCGTACCTGACCTGTGAAGTGTATAAACATGATCTCTGACCGTGTAAGTCAGTTGGCCGGTATTTTTGGTGTCTCAATCATTCGTCTATTTCGGATTAAATTTAGTGATTTCTTTGCTGGTCGTTTGGTTGGTTGGCTGGTTTGCCGGTTCAAGGCATTTGCGCGTTACCCGTTGATTTTCAAGCTGCCGCAGTAGGTCTAGTTAACAGCTTGCTTCTTGAAATAGAGAGTGAAATCGCGCAGTGGAGGGAAGTGGCCACATTACTCAGGCTGGGTTCGGACGGTAAGTTGACGTGTAGTTCGTTTTGTGCTGACATTTCGACGGACGTCGTAACATCTTAAGTTGGAAAAGGTGCGCAAATCTTCCCAGCCCAAAACACAGCACAAATACCGTACAAGGAGGTTGCTCCTGAAAGCTGACACTCCGGAGTACCACCTTCCTGCGCCGTCTCAGGCTCCCGTGGGTTACTTCGATCCGCTGGGAATGTCCAAGGATGGCGATGAGAAGACGCCCCTTTGGCACAAATCTTAAAGTTTGGGGTTCAGGGTCGGCGCGAGTCTAAACCTCCCAAATCCCAAGTCCTTCCGTAAATCCCGAACAGCGCAAACTTTGAACCCTGAAGATCAAACATTCCAAACCTTAACAAACCTTAAAAACCTGAATGACCCAATGAATCCTAAACTTGGTCCAACCCCAGGGACTCAAACTTAAGCAACCCCAAACTGAATTCAATGGCGAACCAACCTCATTTTCAAATTTGGGGCAGCAGAAGCCCGAAAGAAAACGAACCGTAACTTGAACGCTAGCAAAACATTGCAAGCATCGAACAGTGCCAAACCTGACGAACTCAAAATGTTAATCGACCCCATTCTAAACCAACATGTCGGTGTGTTCTGCATGGTTACAAGACGCCACAAGATTGCACGTCAGGCGCATCGCCCACCCTTGAAGTTCGAATCCTTTACCAGATCCCAAAACTCGTTGCACATCTGAAAACCCTGGCTGTGCAATCGTGTTTAGCGATGCCGAAGCCAAGTCCACGCGTTTGCTATTTAAGTCGTTCAAGTCTTCCATGTTTTTGTCCGGCAGAAGGTTGAGGGATTGAGTTTGAGTTTGCGAGCTCGTTGTCGGGTAGTACCGAGTCTCGAGGCTCGAAATGTTCGGATTTCTCCCCTAACCTGCGGCACCACTTAGCAGCTGGTTCCCCGGTCACACTTCTTGCGCTTGCTGCAAAATACTAGCTGATACGCACGATATCGTACAATTTGATCCTTGAAAGAAGCGAAATAATGAGAAAGGACGAGTGCACGGGTCTACTTGGTTTGCTCACGGGTTGCCATTGCGACAGCCTATGCACGAAAACCCTGTTCCTGCCTTTTGATTGCGCACCACTAGAGTCACTAGAGTGTCCCTTTGAACCAAAAGTTCGCAGACAACCGGATGAAGCTTACAGGCATGCACACACAAGACTACTCCAAACCCTATAAGCCTCAAACCGGCACCGAAAGAACTGGACATCTGCACCGGTGAGGTTTCGCCGTCGCCGAGAGTCCGAGCTGAAGTGCGACTTCCCAGTGTCGGGTTTCGGGGCTTTGGGGGGTGCCCAATTCAGGTGAAGGATGCCGCTTGTTGTTCTTTCTGAAGTTTGAGAATCTCGAGGTTACAGATTCTTCCGTTTGTCCAATTTTGCTCCATGTCGGCCGCATCTCGCAACATTCCTGAACGAGGCGTGCATCGGTTGTTTTTTGTTTTTTTTTAGCTTGACCCTCATGTTGGAGGTCCTGGGTTTTGCTTGGGCCCTGCCAAAAATGAAGAAACCTGGAGACCTAGACTGCAGGAAAGTTTCATTAATGATGTATGAACATGTAACATGTTCTCCCTCGTGTCCTCGTGAACCGCAGAAAGACAGAGCCCGTCTTACGATCTCGGTCTTGAAGCCGCTGCATGTGGGTGGGTCTAACCTTCAAAGCTCCTTGAACTCCTAAACCCCCAACCACCTAGAGCCTGTAACTAAAACTCTGCAACCCCAAACCGCAAGCCCTAAACCCAAACTCCCCAAACCCCCAATCCATCAATAGTCTAAACCAGGAAGCCTGGAACCCCCAAAAGACTTCCAAAACCCTTACAGTTTAAGCTCGACACGATAGAAAGCCCAATACACTATTCGCCCTCACAGTGTTTGTGGCAGCCGTCATAGAATCTTCGTGCCTCTGTTGTCTGAGCCCCTGACCGCAAGGAATGGACGGGTCGCCATGTTTGCTGCCATGGGATGCCCCCTGGTTCGGATGTTGGAGGTGTACTTGGATGCTTCATGGTCGTGGGGCTGTTAGTCGAGTTGATGAAATTCCTCGAATTGTGGAGCTTGCCAGTTTGGGCTTTAACGTTTCTTTAGCTCTTGGGTGCACAGGCATCCAGCTGCAGATCTCAATGTCCTTGACATACGAGGTTGTAGCTTGTGAGCCTCACAACTTTGCTAACTCATGCCAGTCCAGTTCCCATGCACTTGCCGGAGTCTCCTCCCATCACAATGCCCTATTCAACCGATTGCACCTGTGACGTCACGTTTGCAAAAGTCAACTGTAAACTTTGTACTCTCATCCGAGTTGATCCGATCAACATGTTCAGAAGAAGACTGCCCGGCTGTGCCAAGTCATCACCCCGGAGTACTTCCGCTTCCCTGGGTTCCTGTCGCAGCGGCCTCAGGGAGGGTTTCTGTGTTTGTTGTTTCAAGTGCGATCTAGGAGGCTGTGATTGCTAGGCATATGGCGCCTCTGCAATTTTTGTGCGCTTATAGCGAAGGGAGCCTGAAATAAGATAAGGGTATGGTTCTCGATGTATCGTGCTTTCAAGCTTTGTGCCAGTGCCTTTTGGGTGAAGCGTCTGAGGTTGTCGGCTGCAGGAGTTTAACCTTTGTGATTTCATGTCAGGTTGCTGTTATCTGGCCGACTATACAGAAGATGGTCTCAGAGCCGACACAAATCTGATGCCCAGGCCAACGAAGGGCCTGAAGTTCGCTGATGTCCCAAACGGCCTCGCTGCTCTCTCCAAGGCTCAACTAGGACACACTCAGGTTGTGATTTCAGGTTGGGATTCAACGAGCCTGGGTGTTCAGGCTGGAATGTCCAGGGTTGCACTGCTTTCAAGCGCATAATGCATGTGAGTTCTCGTCACACCGTCATCGAGATGACGCGGGGTTCTTGTTCAGCGGGAAGGTGAAAGCCCCTAAACCCGAGACCCTAGCGCCCTAACTCCCGATTGTGGTTTCAGCCTCAACACCCAGACTCCCCGATGCCATGTCCGACCTTTCTACTTGTAGGTCCCAGTGCCAACACCGCTGCTATCTGCCATGCTCCACCTGCTGTTATCATAGCACCGTCAGGACGTCGTGCAACTATGCGACAATCAACCCGTACCCGTGCTTACCTTGCGGTGAGATACCATCACCTCCCTGTCAGGGTTCCTCTGAAACATCCGTAGCTTAGTCTTGAACTTCTGTCGCTGATTGACGATTTGCCCTTTCCCTCCTTCTCCTCCCTCCTGCTCCGCCCCTTTAATTCGCTGTTCCTTTTTCCTTTCTTTTGAGGCTTGCCCTCCGCTTGACACGGACCAGCTGTTGCTTTTTAACTTAACTTTGTGATACTTGGTTTTGCATGTTGCGTGGGCGGTTCATGCACTCCGCCAGCTCCTGCCACACCCAAGAAGTTCACACGCCGTTCGTCACACTCGCCACAGGGGATGCACCCTCAGCTCTATCGAAGACGACTGTCTAGGTTTGTTCATCACTACTCAGTCACTGCCGTTTCCGACCAGTGACAGCCAGAATTCTGCTACTACACGCCGTGTTGACATTTGATATATGCACAGATAGTGACAAGGTCCTCAGCGGATACACGACCTCAAACTTACAGAATCGGGCCCTCAGACCCAATGTGTCACTTAGCAAGCACATGCAAGCACCGCACCAACAAGACGGGTCCTCTCGCCCGCAGTGCCCTCAGGCGCCACGTACCATCGTTCTCTGAGTCCTCTGGTCCGCACCTTCGTCGTACCGTAAGTGTCCTCTGGCCCCAGCGTCCTCAGGCGTTTCAGTCTGGCACGTCGTCAGGCGCATTGTTGCTCGGATAGTCTACGGACGAAATCTCCACCTGCTTTTGCAGCCCCTGAATATCGGAATGGCAGTTTTTCTTTCGAGTCGGCTGCGACCGCAGTTGCCCCACCCTCAACACACCAGCCTCCGGACAAGTACTGACACCCTACCCGCCCCAACACGAGCTGGCCGCTCCCTGTTGCGGTCTGGCTCACAAGAGCAGCACACCGCCCCACGCCTCCTTCGACCCCCCCTGCACAAACGGCAATCTAGGTGCGGAGATGCCGCAGTCACATCGGCCGCAGACCACCTCCGGCGGGACGTGCTCAGGCTGAATCAGCTTTAGAAGGATCGTGTTACTCGGCTTTACGGCCTCCAGGACCTGTATGCAGAACTGAAAGCCGACCACAACTTGGCTGACCTACCTCTACCTCAGAAGGCAGTCCCCCCTATTTTGGCTGCGTTAAAGGTTGCGATTCCAGAGGAAAAAAGGTGACCCCACCTTCCGCTCTTTCCGCGCAGATACAGATCGAGCTGCAGCTGGCATCGGGAGGGCGGCTAGATTCCACATTTCCATGGGTGCGCTGTTTCCGTCCAGAGTTGGACAGCACGGCAAAGCTTGCAGGGATCTCGCTTGCAAGCCGCTTGACGTCAGGGTCGCATGCACGTGGGCCGAGAAGGCTGCGGTGACTGTGTTGCATAGTGCGACTGCGTGCGACTCTTCCTGCTCTTCTGCTTCTTCTTCCTGTTTACCCCCTCCATCCCCGACCCCAGCCTTGAGAGCAGTCAGCCCCACGTCCTTCCTCGCAGCTTCGGCCCACAGCAACCCAAAGCCATAGACTACTCGCAAAATGGCAGACGCACGCTTCTCTGTGAGCCCAGACGTGGACCTCCCGGGCGGTGTGACTTGGGAGCCTTTGCAGAGCGACTGCAACATTCTCCGGGCGGCCTTTCTGATGGCCAGGAACCTCCTCATTGCAGGGTGCACGGAGGTGCACTTCGAGGTGACAAGGGATGATGATGCATCCTTCCGCCTGCTTTGCGCCAATCCCACGGTGCTACCCACGGAGTCTCTCATGGATGTCTATATGCAGCACAACCACCTGGGCGTCAGTGAACATAGTGCATTAGCGCCGGCCGCACAGGTTGCACAGGATGCTTGTTTACCTTGTTTTGTGAGGAGCAGAGCGGCTTGCCCCGTGGGCGGCGCCTGCGGCGCCACCACCTGATCGAATTTTTCAAGGATGACCTGTGGTGGCTCGTCATCACTGGCGTCAAAATTGAGACGTCGGTGTCTTATCGCCGCGGTTCCGAGTTCCTTTTTTGCAACTGTGTCTCTTCACCTGCGCTCGGCTTGAGAAGTCGACCCGCCTCGAGAACATGGCCCGTGTGGAGGAGCTGTTTGCAACAGCTGAATCTACTCGGGAGTTCAACACCTTGGCTAACAGCGCCGCATTGGCTGTCCTGAGAGGCCTGAGTGCAATCACACAGCTCCTTGTGCCGATTCCGGACATACCACCAGAGACGTGGCACGCATCATTTGAGGCAAGCGCGAGCGTCGATATCGACACGGTCGTCATAGCCTGGTGGGGCTTGGCCCCTGCCCTCCTTTGCGCCTCCCGATGCCTCCCGCTTCCTGTCGCCTCATAAGACACGGTCCAAGAGAGATGAGACGACGGGGAGTGGAAGGGTGCGCCGGGGCACTTCATGGTACGGTTGGAGTTTGGGGAGGCCTCGCTCCGGGTGCAACATAGGCAGCGTGGGTTCGTGCAAAAAGCCACCGAACCCGCTTTGCGCAAAATAGAACTGTTTCGAAAAAAGAGAAGGTACCGAAACTTGGCGATGGTAATAAAAGGATATACCTACAAAAAAATATGTTAGTATTATTGAAAGGACCTGACGCAGAGCACTAGAAAGGGTTGAAGGTTAGTTGTCGGCTTGGCGTCGGGGGGAGGCTTCAGGGTGTATCTGGGTCAGGGGTGGGGCCTACATACGACTTTCGGAGTTGCTTGAAGCTTGCGGGTTTTGGTGACTTGGGTTTGAAGACGACAGTCAAAATGTAAAATACGCAGGCCGCGCTCACAGTTAGGATGTGGCGCAACAGCTCCGGCTCCAAAACACGATCTTACAATATGCACGAACAGCCCTGCACCTTATTTAATTTCATCTCCACAAAACCTGCCTGAACCCTAAACACGGAACTCTTCAGGTAGCCGACATTTGTGGAACCTGCAGGTCCCCTTTCTCGGCTGGATCCAGATCCTTGTCTTCTGCGGCATGGTGGATTTCGGGCTCTACAGGCTCTTTTGGGGTTTGGTTATATTGCGCCATATAATTTCTCACGAGCTGCTGGAAAACATAGTGCTAATGCGTGCTTCAGCGCTACTAGTGAACGTGCTGAAAACGTCGTGGTTTGTTTCCGCAAAGCCCGGATGTCGATACGTTAAAGTTACGTCGCAAAACTCAGCAATCCAACCCACAAATGACGGGCCGGGCCGCCAAATTGAGTTTTGTCAGTGTCAGGACCTGTTACGACGGCCATTCCTGCAGAATTTGCCGCTCGTGGTATCGGTCAAGCTTTCTGTTTGCTATGTCCGCTTGAATATGTTGTCAGTGGCTCAATCAGCCGAGAATTTATTGTGAAATTTTGGCCGCCAAAACATGTTGAAATTCAAGAACTCCTGCATAGAGGCATCAGACTTGCCAAATGTCAAGCAGGAAACCAGAAATACCTCAACCGCTGAACTGTAAGCCCAAACCATCAAAGCGAGGGCCGATCCCTCTCGCGACCCTGGTGACTATGAGTCGGGAGGCCCAAGTCGCAACATTGCACCTTCAACATTTGGAGGGTTTAGATTTGTTTGGAGATGTTGGGGGCGTCGCGTGTAAAGTTTGGGGCCTGGGGTTTGCAGAGGTTTAGGAGAGTTTGACATTGTTTGGGGTTTAGGATTTGGAGATCGAGGTTTGTGGTTTCGAGTGTGGTGTTGGGGGTTTGGGATTTGCGAATTTATTCCCTGGGTGGACCCCCCCAGAAAGCACCCCGGCCCCAGAGACCATGTTTCTCCACCCTTGCAACAACATACACATCATGCAGAACGCGGGTTTGCAAGGCTGTCCGGCATTTTTTTGGAGTGTTCGAGGACAGGGCTATACATGGCGGGGAGGTTCGGGTTGTGGTGCTTAGGTCCATGGATTTGGTGGACAAGATCGAGACATCCACAATTCGTCTCTCATGATTATTCTTTTTTGGACTAAGTTTAGATTGCGTGCCACATTGTGCCAAGTCCTGGGGAATTGGGAGTCTCATACAAGGGCAACCCGAATAGCGTAGTTAATTTTCACCGAAATCTTTTTCTAGTTAGGACGGGCTCAAACGTTCCCGCACCAAGCATCGAAATCCATAAGACCCCAAACCCTGACCGTACCTGGAATCTCTGAGGAATGCCGGTATCCTCGGCGTGCCCAATGCCAGTGGCCCCATGGCAGATGCCGAGGGCCGCAAGAGGCCCAAAGCAACTACAAAGGGGTTTTGTTTGAACAGAGCAGCGTTCCCGTACCTGGTTCTTTATTTTGGTTCCTGTAAGAGTTTCAAACATTCGACTCGCACACCCTCGTAACCGTGTTCGGCTTCAGCGTGCTACTGGTAGGAAGCTCAATTCCGAGCTTGCGAACGGCCGCCTGGCGATGATGGCCATCACTGGCATGCTCTTCCAAAACGGACGGGCTGTCGGGTCTGGGGGCCTTGGCATTTGGAGGGAACAAGGGACAGTGCTTCCTTGCCGGCATCATTTCGTGTAGCACCAATTGGAAGCAGACTTTCTGGGGCTGATCACCCCGCGCGTGTTTGATCATCTGATCAGGCATTACTGGTGCACGCGTTAGGGGGTCAAGGATGGTGTTTCTAATAAATTTTCAGAGCATTATGCTGTTCATTGTTGACGCCGTCACGGTTTCCTGCTACAGTTTTTGATGCTGCGCTACCATCAACTTTTGCACTGGCATGCTGGCCACGAGCCGAACCCAATCCTTGCCTCGGGAATGTTGAACAGGTGTTAACACTGAGAGCTTTTTGGGGTTCGCCAGCCATGCTCCGGCGCAGGAATCACAGGAACCACCGGGCCGGCCATGTGGGGATTTTGAGGCGGACACCCAGTCTGCTTTGGGCTACTCGTAGCTTCCCTTTCAGGCATGGAAATTTGGCTGACGAATTGATGTAAGCTGTGCAGCAGCGCTCAATGCTTTTTGATTGAAAGGTTGTTATCGGATGTCAGCTGTGGGGAGAGCAGAGCGCTAGTGCTTTTCCGTATGCACGGTTGTTTGTGTGTGTGTGTGTGTGCGTGTGTGCGAGTGCATGTGTGTGTGTGTGTGTGTGTGTGTGTGTGTGTGTGTGTGTGTGTGCGTGTGCGTGTGCGTGTGCGCGCGTGTGTGTGTGTGTGTTCTCATATCCCTGACTTGCTACTGTGGCTGCGTGGGAGATGGGAGGCACAATGTTAGAGTCTCGCGCATGGGCGACTTCATCGGGATGCATGTGATACCCTTTACCATCCCGGGACCATCCCTTTACCCTATGTACACGTTCCAAAGATCTTCCAAGTTGACACTAATTTCGGTCGTTCCTGTATCATGAGACAAGCCTTTGCGGAGTGCGGCACGAACGTTGGTCAGTTTGCATTGCGGGACATTGGGGGTGCACGACAATCCATAAGCTTGTATCACGGCTGTGCCTGAACATGTGCATGTGGTCGCTAAGTCTTCCCAGTTCGGGCAACTTCGATGCCTCAAACCGTTCTTGCTCCCCGCCCCGTTTAACCACAAGTCCCGGACTCGTTAAAAAACAAAGCTTGCCGTTGAGAGCCCCCTACACGTACCAAAGCCTGACAGAAATGCTGACACAGGATTTTAAACTTGCCGTGCTTGTACATGATCTCCGGTGTCTGGACCCCAGCTGCAAATCCTCTAGACTCTAAGCCCTAAAGGCCCTTAATCAAAAGCCCTGAAGGCCCTAACCCTTGGCCCAAGCCCTGTGAGTCTCGACATTCGGAAGTTCGAGAGCTCTGTTCGAGAGCTCTGGACCTAGGGGCACATCGAGATTTAGTTTTCCAAGGTTCGGGGGTCACGTTGCGAAGGTAAGACAAGGAGGCCGAGGCTTTCCTCAAAGATAGAGTTCCGAAAGACTGTGAGATGCTACGTATGTACCAGGCACGTTAGGTTGGGGGCAGTCTTGCCGAGCTGCGCTCCCGCTTGGGGATGCAGCTTTCCTAGCATCTTGGAGTCTGAGTTTAGCTCAGAAGTTGGTGGAATGTGCTCAACATGACCCTCTGAACCCTGAGCCACAGCTCTTTGCTCAACAGATGAGAAGTCCCAGCTCGTAGCCGAGAGCCTGTGCCCAAAAGATGGGAGGTCAGGGAAAGAATCCTAAACTCCGGGACTCTGGGAACAACAGAGAGGATTTAGGGCCTTCGGGGTTTAGGCCCGAGCCTCAGTACACGAACGACAACCCTGGAGACTAAAGGCTTGAACAGTCCGGCCCCGGCGCACGACCAGATGTTCGCGCACAGCCGCGAGAAAGGGGGCAGGTTGAAGACTTTGACCGTGCGACCAGGTTTGTAGCAATGTCTTTTGCTGCTCAGATGGGATATATGTGTCGACATGGTGATGTTGAATTCCAGGTTGCAGGACAAGTTGCAAGTCTATCGCGTCACGGCACGTATGGTTCGGATGTGATTGTCAGGGGTCCTTTTTTGAAATCTTCAGCAATGATTCTCGTAATCAGTGTATCGCTCGCCTCTGCTGCAGGCAAACTCCGTTCAGTCAGCCTTGATCGAAAAGCCCAAATGGGAGTTCACTTCGATGCATCCGAAGTGTAGACCTGTAGACCCCGTAGAGTAGAACCCCGAATGGCGAATGTAGGAAAGGCTAGCAATGGGTCCGCGACCCAGCGTGCAGCACTCTGCCGTGCTGCTTTCAAGGCTGTTGTCAGCGGAGTTTTCCGTGAAACCAAGGAGGAACCCTTTCCTGCTACCTGCTTGTTCGCAGGAAGCGCCATTCTCTAATGCAGGATTTTGGTAGGGGCTTCAGGATTGAACTCGCTGAAGCAAAGCTTTTCCAGAGGTTTTGCATGCGGAAGCCCATGCAACCTACCTCAGCCCTGTAGCCTGAACGCTTAATGCCTGGAACCATCCAGATTTCATGCTGACCACATGATGTCAACATCCACACTCATTGCGCCGTTGTGCTCAAGCCGGGAAGCAGTGCAGAGTGCAAAGAAGTCGGGCGCGGAATCCCAGGAAGTTCTGCCTTTCTGTTATTTCGTCTTGTCTCGATTCCGCGAGCACAAAGCCGAAGAGATGAAGATTAAACTAGTGCCATTCGGTTCTTGCAGGTCTGTCGTTCGTATGTCGTCTTTATGTGTGAAGTAAATGAATGGAATTACCACTTTGTCACCCTCTGGGGGTGTAGCATGGACTTAGGGCTCCCTTCGTTGTCACCTTGCGTGATTAGCTCTCACTGCAAAGCTAAGCATCTCTGGCGGAGCAAAACGGCAGGTGGTTCAGGGGTAATGTCTGGCTAAGGCAGCCCGAGGAGCATGAATTTAATTTGTGCTTAACTGGATAGGTAGACCCCGGCCCCAAAACCTGGGGCCAGGTTGGAAGCATGCCCGGGAAATACAATGTACCTGGGGCCAACCACCCAAACTCGAAGTGCCAGAAACCGCCAACCCGTGCCAGAGCCTGACCTTGACTGCTGCCGGTGCAGGTTCGGGACATCCTCAGATCTTTGCACAACTTTTAATCAACTGCCTGCTCTGCTTCCGCCCGGTCGCCCAGATTGGCCTACGATGGGTATGGTACATTCAGTACGGTTTTGCATTTCTGCTTCGTCGGCCAAAGGCCAAGTATGCGCTTCGCTTCATGGAGCAACATGTCAGCCGAGGTTTGGGGGGACCCGGCGTACTTTTTGAGTTGGGGGTCTTTGGATGAGGCAAGGCTCAGGAAAGAAGCTTAAGCAGACGACGCCGCAGTATAACCAACGGGAGACCAGCGAGAGTCAACGAAGCCTAGGCTGGAAGGCTTCTGACGATGTCGCGCTCGAGTAGTTGTTCGAATCATCGGGATACGTCATAGGAGCCCTGATTTAGAACGCTCGCCTTACGCAGATGGCTTCGAACGGCCGCGCTGTGACTGTCGCGATGGGCGCTGCAGGCACAACTGCGCAGTGGGCTGGGCCTTAATCCGAAAACAGAGCCGTCAATACTATGCATTTTACTCACTGCATTTTACTCGCCATTGCCGCCGCCAAAACCCATGTGCAAGCACCACATTGGATGGAGGCGCCGTCGCTTTGTGCAGCACAGCCTTCGTGGCGCCCACGGCGCAGACGAAGAGCCTCCGCGCCACAAGGGTGGCAGAGGCACGGGCAAGTAACTAAGTACCGTGCGGAACAACACGCAGAAGAACGCGAGTCTCCGGCGTCGTGGCTCCTACATATCCTATCAGGTCCTAGCAAGCTTCCACTTTCGTGCCGTAGTTTCGAAGGCTCCCAAACGACAAGCTTTTTCGTAGCACCTGCGGATTTCCATCGCCTTTCGCTTCGTTCCTGTTTTCTTCTTCTCAGATTTCCACAGCCTCAGGCCGTTTGTGCAGATGTTCCGCACTTGGTGATTTAAGGATTTGTCATTAACGCCTTCCACCGTTCTTCTGCATGCAGTAGGTACAGGCCATCGGCTGCTGGACTAGATTAAGCATCCCCATACCATCATTGGCCACAGACTGGATTTGAGCCACATCTCTGTCTGCGATGTCGGTTTGACTTCTGTGAACAACCCCCCACCCACACACCCACCCACCCCCAGCCAAAACCCTTCAGCATTGAACCCTAAAAATAGTAATCCCTTCACCCCAAGAATACAGACTTAATAGATGTTGACGCAACTTGAACCAGCGCGGTTGCAGGCTGCCTCAGCCCAGCCGGCCGTTAGAGCCACTAGCAGCAGCGCTGGGATCCTAATCCCGGCTCAGGAAGGGGCATGCAGCAGCTATAATAGCGGACGACATGTACGGCTTTCATGACTTTGCATAGTGTGCGGTCCGGCGAGTGGCTGCATCAAAGCTCTTTTCCGCATAGGAGTTGTGGCTCTCAGGTTTAAGGGTTTCCAAAGTCGAACCTGCAGGAAGGCTGGCTTATCTGGAAGAGCCACCTTCCTCCAGGGCAATTTTGGGAAGCTTCCGTGCAGGAGCTTGAGCCCCATAATTTGCAAAACCATGGAGTCAAGACCACAGAGTCTCAGAGCCTCCAAGAGAGGGTGTGCTGGCCTTCGGAGCCCTCTACCGCATCACGAGAGGGAGCCCTCAACAAACAGGTGAGCTCATGTTCAGCGGAACCCGTGACAGCCGTCACAGCTTCAAAGCCTGACCCCAGTCACGCGCCGCATCCGAATTCTCCAAACGAACCACAAACTTTGAACTTTTCGATAAACTCATCAACTCAATGATAAACCCTTCTGTAGACCCTTCTGTAAGCCCGTCTACAAACCCTCGACCAAAATGCTTTCCCCGATGTACTGGTGGGATTCAGCAGCAGCCCCCAAAAAACACTTCCCCCCTTGTACTGACAAGGATTCAGACATTTCGAAGCCAAACTGAGCGCGTCAACACGTGTTCCCAGGGTCCTGCAGAGTGTTGTCAATTCCGAGCACGAATCGTCGTGGCACTGCCACACGTGCTTTACAATGACAGCCGCACGGCTAACATGCCGCTCAGCGTACTGACCGGAGGCAGCGACATGACCGAAGACGGAATCGTCACTGCACCACACGCGTAGTGCGATCTCGCGGACTCCTTTGGACTGGTGGGACCGAGCCCATCATCTCCAGGGAGAACCTTTGCATTCGGCCCCCCAAACGGAGAGCAGAACAGTGAAACGCGGCGGGAGCTCGAGGGCTCCCTATCGAGCCTGCCCTGGCAGCCCCTATAAAATCCTAAACTACAAGCCCTGCCTAAGCCCGCAGCGGAGTCTCCGAGGCCCCGAGCGTCGGCTTGGGAGTCGCGTCTGCTGCCCTGGCACTCGGCGCCGTGTCCCAGCGCGCCCGGGGCCCCAGCGTATTGGGGGAAGGGTTGGATGGTCCGGACTTGTGTGGGCTA